CCTGAAACCCTCACCAAGGTGAAGTGCAGGAGTACTTGGGCTGACAAACTTATTTCAGTTGGAACCTCAACGTGTCATTGATGTTGACACCTGGTCTCTTCAAACAAGTACCACTAACACCTCACCAAAAATCTGCCCTGCAGCATGTGCTCAGCAGAGTCACTGGACCATACTCAGAGGTCTACCAGCCAAGAATTTACTCTCAATTTGCCTTAGCTTGTAGATCTGATGTTCTCAGAAGATATTACTGCCTCCAGACTGGGTTCCTGATGCCTGCAGCAAGCAACACACTCTCTGTACTGCTGTGAGATGGTGCTTGTGGACCCACAACATGAGCACTGCAGTGAGCAGGGTCTGGGTTTTACAAGAAATGGGGTAAACTCTGAGATTCCCCTGAATCTGTGGGGAAATCCCACTGAGAACACGATTAGCTCCATTCTTTCACCTACTGTGCTGTAAAAACTGGAAGTGACCCTGATTATCCGAAAATGCAAATGCCCCTCTTTGTTTCCAAGGGTTATTCTGTGCTTGCTCAGGCTCCTGTAATCCCCCGAGGCTGTGCCTATGTGCGTGAATAGGATGGGGAAACATGGCAGGGCCATGTCAATCTTGTCAGCAAGATGCAGTAAAACAGGTTTCAACACTCCAGAGAACCACGGGAGGCACCAGCAGTTCCTGTTCCCTGGTCAGCCCTGCCCCTGCCAGCTGGCACAGGAGCACTGACGGGCAGCCCCTGCTCTGCTGGGTGCACATGCTGGGAGAGCTTCAGGTGCTGAAGGATGAGAAGTCAGAAAGAAGCTGTTGCATGTTTTCATGACATAGTTTGCTGTGAGCTCAAGTGATCGGGCAGGAATAAATTAGCAGGAAAATCCAGTGATTCAGAGGGTGTTTCATGACAGGCCAAAGCAGCTCATGCTGGCTGATGATTTAACCCCTGCTGGGCGTGCACAGCTGAGTATTCATGGCCATGTTTGGTGCCAGCACCCTTCTCAGCTCAGGGACGGGGTGATCCTGAGTAAATCTATGCGTCCCTCCTTCTAAAGGCTTGTCTGGGCTGAAGGCATCTGCTTTGGGGAAGCTATGCACAGTGCAGAGGGGAATACACAGGGCAGGGAGAAGGGCATGAAGGAGCTGGCTCACAGTGTGGGGCTGAAGAGCTCTCCTGGAGTGGGAAATCCTCCCAGCTCACACTAAGGTCACTTCTCTAAATCTGAGCAGATATTTTATTTTCCAAAGTGAAAACATCACTGGGAAATGGTGCATTAAGAATGGAGTCTCCTTCCTGGGAGAACCTCTCATTCCCTGACACCCCTGGCTGGCAGTTTCTAGGAATATAAGCAAATATCCCTGTCCTGCATGGGACCAGATCTGGACAGAACTGGGGATCAGGAAGGTATCAGGAAGGGAACTGAATGTTCCTGCAGGCTGCAAACACTAATTCTTGGGGGGAGACGACAAGTGGCCTAATGGAGAGAGGCACTCCAGGAGCCATCTGTTTCTACATGCTTAGAAATGGAAAAAGTACCCTGGATTAACCTGTGGCTAAGGATGGACTGGAGATCCACAAGAGACCTGTTTTCAAGGGAACTTTAGACCTGTTTCCACTGCTCTAATCGATAACAAGCACAGTGCTGGAAGCACAACCCAATGCCATCATCCCTCTGCCGTGTCAGCATAGGCAGTGGAAGTTCTCAGTGGGACCTGGACTATCTGCAAAGATCCTGCACACTTGGCTGCCTGTGGCCTGCAAAGGGCTGCGGGGGTTTGTGTTGTTTTTGTTAAGTCAAGACAAATAAAATTCTCTTGTTACTTTACTACTTCTAGGACACACCACACTGAATTCTATTCCCAGTTCCCACACTGACACTGAAGGAAGCTAAAGGGCAACAACCAAGAGGCAAAATCTTGAACAATCAATGAAAAAGGAAAACAACAGCAACCAGCCCTTTTCTGTCTGTGAGGTGCAGAGCCAGCGGTACCCATTTACTGTATAGCTAATGGACTTAAAGAAGGCCAGAAATTGGTTTAATGCTGTCTTAAGGCACCTGATCTAATGACATTATGTTTTGCCCAATCCAATAAGTAGTGCAAATCCTGGGCTGTTGCTGAAATCTGCCCTCGTGCACCATTAACTGGGTCTGGCAGGGAGTCTGGCCCTGCACACATCGTGTGCAGCCATGAGGGTCAGGAGGGGCTGCTGCCAGGGGACCCCACAGAGGACCCTCAGGTGCGGATCAAAAACTTCTCAAAAGGTTGTGCTCTCAGTCACCTGGATAAAGGTTCTGTTAGTTTAAAAAGCAGAGTTTTAAGGCTCCTGCTGCTGCTCTCAGCTACCCCCAGTGCCTCTCCCTCGCCTGCTGCAGCCAGCAGCGGTTTAAATGCCTCCTCTTCAAACACATGCCAGCCAGCTCGAGAGCAATACTTCTGGGAGGTATGGTACAACAGTGCATGAAATAAGCAGCAGTTTATACTATTTGAAAAATGTTTTTCTGCTTCACCTCTAACAAAGTTGATTGCATTTTCCATTTCACCTCCTTCACGGCTTTTCTCTCTTCCTTAAGTGTTCTGTGACAGGGGAATTACCATGGTTTCCCATTTAAGAGGTGGAGGAAACAGCTGAGATAATCCAGGAACAAGTCGGTAATAGGCACCCACTGACACGGGAGCAGAGCTCGCGACACGTCGGGCCAGGCTGTGGAGCTGTCAAGCCCTGCCGTAGCCACTGAGACCATCCTGCAAAGCCTGCATTTAAGTGAATTAATAGTTCCATTGAAGTATTCCCTCTCCTGAAGGGCTTCACTGCTTTCCAGGTATAACTGATGCTCCAAAACCCACCTAAAGCTCTTTCTGATGCTTCTGTCATGCCGTGGGAGGGCAGAGGCAGCAACCCCTGGCACAGGCACACCTCTCTGCCTGCTCCCAAGCCTGAGCCCTAAGTGTCTGCCAAGGTCTTGGCAAAAAAAATGTTGTCAATATCTGTAAAATGCGTATGGCAAGATTCAAAAAATCAGTCACTAAAAGCCAGCTCTCAGGTATTTCCTCCTACCTCCCCCTTCTGAGCAGTGCCAGCAGCTCCCTGCTCCAGCAGCCTCTAGGCCTGGGCACAAGACAAATCACAGAGTAACAAAACGAAGGGTTTTCAGCAAAACCTTCAGTGTCAATACTTAATTAATCTGAGTGAGACTGGGCTACGATCACCACAGTGCAGGACAAAGCAAACAGAGCTACTGTTTTAACGACCCTATTTCTTGTTTTTTAGATTCTGTGTCTTAAAAACAACCAGGCTGTGCTTAACTTGGTGCTGGGATGTGACTGAACTTCTGTCTGACTCGAGGACTTAATCTCATAAAAAGAACTGCCAGTGCTACAGCCTAAGCTCGTTCTTCACTAAAGAAATGCTGACTGGTGCTTTAGGAGCTAATGAGTTTTATAGTCCAAGAAGCCTAAGATAACAACCCCTCTTTTTTCATCTCAGAGAGAAAGAGAGAGAAAGACAAAGAGAGAAGACAGAGAGCAATTGCTGTGTAAGACATAAGTCCTGTTGGGCATATTGTATTTGTCAGGATGCAAGTCCAGTGATTTACGTGGGAGTAACGAAAGGCATGCTCAGGCACCTCTGAACTGTGTTCCTTAATGGCTGATCAGTACAATTATTAATTAATACCTTAATTAATTAATAATATAATTAACTGAACAGCAAGTAATAATTTAAACTGGTTTTGTCATGGCAATCATACAAGTCTGATTCTCTAATTTCCCAGTTGCCACAACCCCTGTGATTGGTTCCGTGCTGAGGGATGAACATGCAGGTGGTGAGGGGGACTCTGTGACCACGAGCTGGTGACAATGGCCACTCCTGCCTGAAGCACAGGTACCCTGTGTGACGTACCTGGGCCTGGTTTTGGGGTGTGCACACTCTGAGCTCAGAAAATCTGGCCAGGAGAGTTTTTAGAGAACATCTTAGAAGACGACATAGAAAGTTAGTAGAGAGGAGAAGACTAATGACAATGGAGAGACACAGCAAACCAAGGAGTTTACAGCTGGCCTGGCAAACCACTCCTGGACCAGCAAAGCCAGTACACAACAACAGGTGAGGCAGAAAGCAAAGAGCTCCTTCAACTTCTGAAAAAAAATCCCACTGCCTGCGCACAGTGGGGACAAACCTGCCTGGGGCTGACTCGAGCCCAAGCAGTGACAAGTTCTCTCAACACGCATTTATAGGCCTAGTTGTGCCATGGAACTTTAGTACTGAATCGATATGTCTATGACATAGTGAAGCTTTGGAGAACTTGAAAGATGACCTCTCTGACTTTCCCTCTGTGTTCAGTATTTCCAAACCTGTAGCTGCAAGAGTTATTGCCAGAGATAATAAACGCTGGCCTTTGCCAGTTGTGATTCTGCCTAATGCCTGGCATGGCATTGATTAGTTGGCTGTACCCTGCCTGGGTGGGGAAATGAATCTGACACTCAAGAAATATAATGTCTTTACTAAAACACTTTATTTCCTAGAGCTGATACTACTGTGCTGTCCTTAAAAAGTTACAGGCAGCCCCAGGAAACAAGAGTGTCCCCTTTCCAGAAGCAGGAAAGGGGTAGCTCCCTCCCCAGTTCCAGCATTTTAGTCATCCTTCTTTTTTTGCTTAATGAGAGACTTTGGGAATTAGCAGAACCCCTACACACCTCCGCACTCACTCTCGTTTCCGCCTGAGATAAAACAACTGAGATAGATTTCTGCCCCCAGGGACAGCTTCTGGACATCAGACTGGAGACACGAGATCAAATTCATCTCTGGTGCCATTCCACTGGCTTCAAGCACATTCGACCAGAGATTAATTTGGCCCACAGATACATTAAGAAAGGATACAAAGCACAAACGGTATTTTATAAAAAAAGAGCAGGGGAGGGGGAAGTTCAAGGGGACGCTGGATCCTAACCCAGCAGGATTCAGCCCAGCCCGCTCCACCCTCACATCACCAGGCACAGAGCATGTTGCCGGTTACCTTTTTGCTTACTGACTTTCTTTACTGTCATTGCCGCTTGCCGCTTTTGATTTTCAGAAATTTCAAAGCCTGGAAAAGGGAACACGGCAAACACAATTCAGAAGGTTGCTTACAAAGCCTCAGGGGTTTTTTTGGGGGTGGGGGGATGCCCTGCACTGTTGGGCAAACACAGAATGCCCCAAGCGGGCAAGGATGGCCCGGTGAACTGAGGGTACGGGTGTGTTCTACTGAAAAGCAGCTCTTCCTTGAAGGACAGGCCTCTTTATAATCTCACTTGTGCAGGGGCTGTATGAAAAGTAAGATTAGACCCATTATTATTTATACAGTAGCATAAATATGCCCAGTGCTTTACAGCTGAGCACCAAACTGAGCCTGAACTGTCACTGGTTACAGTCAATGGACGGGCTGATGAGAGGGGAGGGCACGGCTGGGAAGTCACTGACTCTGCTGCCCCCCCACACTGCACGAGATATAATCAGAGCAGAATGGTGCAGCCAGGAGACACTGAAGTCAGATGGCCAAAGACTTCCTTCTCCCATATACTTATGGAGGTCCAGGCTTGAAGCTATGGGCAGAATTTATTTATTGAGGGCCAAAAATAACAGTAGCTGAATTGGAAAGAGACCTGTTTATGACTATGAGAGCAACCAAGGACATTTGAGTAAGACTGAACTGTAATTCTACTACATAAAAATGTCAGCTTCTCCACCCATTGGGGCTAAGTTAAACATCACCAACAATCTCCTTTCAGATTCATTTCCATATTCCTCACCTATCTTTTCATCTTCTTTTACCATCTTCCTTTCTTCTCTGAAAGCTCTAAGCCATCGTAACTTCTCCTCCAGTTTCTTGGCAAAGAATAAGTGCATTTCCTCAGTCTCCTTGTTATGAAGTTTGAAGGCATTCTTCATGCTGACATTGAAGTCATCATCTCTCCCATCGTCTATATCCACCACTTCATATTTATCCATGTCTATGCGCCCTTTGTAATACAGAATATCTCTTCTTATCAGATCCTACAGAGACAAAAGGAGAAAGGGTTGATTGTAGGATGCTTATAGAGCCTGAGCTCAGCAGGAAATTCCTGGGAGAGCTGAAGAAAACAAAGAAATAATGGTGCAACCTGGCCAGGTTCTTCAAGCCTCACCTGTTGTGAACACATTTCTTGCAAACAGGGTAGATCACAGGCAGAGAAGAACAAACTACACCTCCTTGTGCTGCAAAATTCAGCTTGTGGGCATGAAGAAATGCCTCTGAGTAGGAAACACGCTTCCATCATTTCCCATGATGGGAGGCTCTGTTCCATGGGACGAGAACCATAAGACACAGGCCACTGGCCTGACGGAATTCCTGTGCTGCCAGCCAGGTGTACAAACAGAATGCAGCCATGTTTGGCAGTGCAGACTGGGTAGTTTTCCAAACACATTCCCAGAGCCAGGGGAGACAGGTCTCAGCCCTTTCTCCTTGGAACCTATTTCCCATTCGCACACAGCTCACTGGTGAGAAATCAACCCGATCCTCAGGCCAAAGCACTCCTAACCTATCTCTGTCTCATTACACCTTGGATTTAACCTCTTGATCCAGCTTAATATTTTCTTTTTCCCTCCTTGATATTTATAACCTTTTCAACCAAACCTGTTCATGTTCATCTCCTTCCTCAGTTGGCTACTCCTTTTTGTTGAGCAGCAGCTTATTTCTCTATGTCAGGAAGGGAAAAGTAAATTTTGTACTGCCTTTACTAGAACTACTCTTGATTTACACTGATTTAAGAGGAGAATTGGCCCCACATCTCTATGTCTTTACAGGAGAAGATAACAAAAGATGATCCTCAGAAAAAAATGTTAATTCTATAGTCATGACCACACAAAGTCATTCAAGTTTCAAGGCACACATATTTAGAACACCAAACTCAGCAACACACAATCAAGATTTCCCTCCTCTAACCACTCTCAAAAGCCAATATTTAACCTAAGTACCTTTGGATTTTTGAGATAAAGATAAATATAAAGATGAAAGTATGTCAAAGGATTCATTTAAGAAGAAAAATTAAATCAATGTACAGCATTTATTTACTCAATATTTAGCAGCGAGGTTTTTTAAAGATAGGCAGTAGGTATAACTTTAAAAAAATTAATCTTGAAAAATAAACTCTACACCATAATTTATTTAGCAAACTTGCACCTTGCTCATGGATCTGCCAGACAGTATTAATTCTCATTAGACAGGGCACTGGCGAGAAGCTTTAGATCCTGACTCCTTCCCCTGGAATGTTCTGGGCAGGGGGGAAATTCCATTAACAAATCTCTAGTAGAAACACCTTCCTCTAGTGCAGGCTCTGAGCAGTGATGCTGTCCAATACACAAAAAAAGGTATTTCAGGCTGAATAGGCAACAGAATATCTTTTCTGTTTTGTCCTAACTTGGGAAATTGCTTCTTTCCCTCTGTGCCTGGGAAAGGCTGTAAGCGTCACACAGGACCTGATCAATCCAATCGATACCACACACTGTGTTTAATGTGAGTCTGGGGCTCATCTGTAGAAATAACATTTATCTCCACCACACTCTCAAAAAAACCTGATCCCAAATCTCACAGGAACCAAGATGTGCTCCTTAAATTAGCTGTACAACAGCCACTCTCCTTCCCACTGATCCTGAGGACTTGCAGAACACCACCTGAACAGACCATGCTCGTGATGGCACGGGTGAAGAGGAATCCACAGAACTTTTCCAGGCAACTCTCATGATTGTGTAGATTTGTTCATGAAGGTATTACAAGAATAAAGAATCACAATCTTCCTTCTCATCAGGCTCTGTGTGTTGGCCTTTTCCCTACACACACTCAATACATTTTTCCCCTTTTATCTCTCTGATTTTGACTCAGAAAACATTATGAGCTATTTTTAACAGCTAATGCCAAGTGAATGCTTTAACAGCTTTGCGCAGAGGACAGTCCCTGGGTTTGGAGGTGTCTGCCTGAGCTGCTCCATACGTTTCCTCTCCCAGGCTGAGGCTCTTGCAGAGCATCTCCAAGGCTCCTGAGCTCCGCAGGTGCTGCTGAGCACTGGATGTGAAGGTAACGGCGCTGCCTGGGAGGTACTGCAGGAGCAGTGAGGAGATACCGGAATCCTGCAAGGGCTTCTGGAAAAAAAATGGCCCCACAGAATATTATGGTTGGTGAAATGCAATAGTTCAGCTGCTGAGCCTGCAGAGACCGCGAGGAAGAAACGCTGTGGTTTGCCCTTGAGCGCTGAGCAAGCACAGGGGAAAGGAGGGAAAGACAACAAGCACAAAGCTCTTGTCTGCCACTTTACTGCCATTGGAGGAGAAGGCTCAATAATGACTCTAGAAGAAATGGATCATCTCTTCTCCCATCACCCTCCCGATACCCCACAGCGCATTTTCTTCCTACTTCCACAAAGAAGGACATTCCTCACTCACTGACCACAAACTCCAGCAGTGGTACCCTGAATTTATAAGAGACCCTTTACTTCTCCCTGAGTGGTGGAGCACATAATCATCTCCGTGAGCAGCACATGCCTGCTCATGGAAGACACTTTGTACATACCTGGTTCCAGAAAGTTCAGTCCATAGAGCAGATTAACAACTGTAACTGGATAATGTAATTTTTAATATCTGGGCATTTCTATTATCACTTCTCCTTCTCCTTGCCACTCGATAAATGGATATTATTTCCCAACTGACTAAATTTTAATACCCATAGTACGGGATGCATAATAATTATTTGATCCATGGATATTTTACCACTTATGTTCCTACAGCTCTTAAAGAATAACAGATATTACTTAGCTCCTTAGTGAACCATGAGCCTCTTCAAATGGCTTACACTGTAATTGAGTTCAATAAAATTTAGGTATTCATCTGGGCTATGTGAGAGACAGCAAACAAGGCCAAAGACTTGTTTTAAGGAGCTTTTTATGCATGTACACAAGAGAATAGGAATTCAGGGAACACACAGGCCATGAAATGATGCTGCTTGTGTGCTCTCTGCCATGTGCAGCCAGGAACCTGGAGCAGTGCTGAGAAATGATCCCGGTGCTCCTCACACTGTTTTGTCCAGCACAGGACTATCCTTTCTCCCAGCACGTCCGTGGAGACAAACAAGCAAACAGAAGATAAAGGAAAGTAGCTGTGTGGCCGAGGAGCAAAATGGATCGTTCAACCAGCCCAGTGTAAGAGCTGCATGGCAGGAGAACAGAGCAGACAGTACACACAAAATGAGATTCATCTGCTATGGAAGCAGCCACACTGTGGAAAGGAGCTCTGGCTTTGTGGGGCATAGAAATGGCAGCTGGGCAGGCTGCTGCTCCTGCTCCTGATTATACCAGGGATAACATATTAAGAAGAAATAATTAAGCTCTAAAATGTACCTTCATGTACATGCTGGCTGTATTAGTATGGTATTGCCTGTTATCCTGCCCACAGTTCAGTCAGCATGACGACTGGCTGGTTTGCACTGCCCAGTTCTGAATGTCACACGAAATTATTTCTTGTAGTTAAATCAGGCAAGAGCAAGAAAACATAAAAAGACAAAAAAAGACCAAAAAAAGGACTCTCAACACCTCATCAGTGGGGAAAGGACACAGAAATGGAGTTGTTTAATCTAGAAAGATAATAACTAATAACTAAAAAGGAATGTGCTGTTAGTATTCCAGTAGGTGAAAGCTGCTGCTCTTCTACGGAGCCTGGTGATCAATTATTCTCCATTTTGATTGTGGTTTGGCTCAATTTACCACCAGGGAGAACAGCATTAGAATCTTGGGACAAAAATCTTTCTAGCTATAAGAGTAGTTAAACTCTAGAACAGACAAAATAGGGAAGTCTTGGGATGGCATTCCTGGGGGATTTTCAAAAGAAGGTTAGAAAAACATCCATCAGAGATGATCTGAGTATACTTAATCCTGCGAAGGGAATAGCTGATCTCTTGGGGTCCTTCCCAGCTCTGCATTTTGATGGTGTCTGAGAGGAAGGTGACAGATGGAGGAGGGATGGGTGAGAGCAGGTGGGATTACACGGACTGGAGGGGCGGTGTGGGAGAGCCCCAAGGCAGCAGGAGCTGCAGCGACACAGACCTGCAGTCTCTGCAGAGCATCCAGACTGCCTTGCCTGGCTCTGAAGGCAATTGATGCATTTGGGTCATTTGCACTTATTTGTCTAAATATGATCTGTTTTTACCCTACAGCTTCTATGATTTCCTTTTCTTTCCCTCACTGAGGTTAATTAAGCTCTACTGAATAATGCTCTGCAGTCTGTTCACGTAATCTGTACTAAGGATTCACAAGGAAAAGATGAAGCCAAAAAAAGTGGTGTTTGATGGGAGCACAAAACAAAGTTCTGACATATTATGTAAGCTCCCCCCCCCCCTCAGTTCTGCTCTCCGAGGGCTGTGTTGGTGTTTGCAGCTCGAGCAGCTTGTGCTGAGCTCGGGGCTGGACCTGCCTGTGGGACCTGCCTGGGCCATTCCCTCCTGCTCCCACACCCTGCCCCTCTCTGAAGGGGGGGAGGTCACTTCAGAAGAAAAAAATCTGCTTTGTGACCATCAGAAGGAAACCAAGGTGGAGCTCTGCTGGAAAACTTGGAGATCTGAATCTGGGATGTGGCTTCCACAATGAATTACACACTTATTGAAGTGGATATAGGTACCTGCAGAAAGGACTGCACCCGTAAATCAGAGTGTTCAGTGGCTCTTACTATTGCATTGACTTCTACTTGTCTTCAGTACTGCTTCCTCCTGCTCTCTAGCTTTAGTCCATCACATTTTTCTGCCACAGCTGCCCAAGCCAGGCACAGCCTTTGCACGCTGTGGGTGTGCAAGACCCCGTACGAGTCACACCTCTGCAGGAGAAAGAACATTCATCACAAAGAGAGCAACCTGCAGTCACTTGTGCAATGTGACATCAGAGCTGAAAGCTATTAAAGGGTTTAAGTAGCACAGGGCACATAAGGAGGAAATTACCCCCTGTCAGAGGGCACAGGCGAGGCCCTGCCCTGGTCCCAGT